GATTGACTAAAGTATGACAGATGAATGGACAAATGAAATATGTACTGTGAGAGAATCTTCTGGTGCTGAAAAATATCTGATATTTATCTTTGATTTCCTATGAGAGACCATTAGCTGCTTCCCTACGTGTATGGTAGCCTCCTGCAAGAGACTCTCATGCAACATAAATCTAATGAGCATTTCCTCATTAGAAATGAGGTCCTTGTATATGTAAACACATGAGCGCCTTTCCTGTCTAAAATATAACATACATACTCACACATGGTTGCATATTCACATAGCAACTTCCTGTTTTTTGTTTTCTTGTCTGAATTATTTATTGATTTGACCTGAATGCGCAGAAGAATAAAACCGTTATCCGGTTGGCTCATACTTGCTAACCCTCCCGATTTTCATGGGAGACTCTCGTATTTCATTGCCCTCTCCTGGTTTCCTCCTGGGGTCACATTTCTCCCGATTTATGACAACTTTCTGTCCTTTTTATTACATTCATAATGGTTTCTTGCACTTTGCAACGCATATGCCCCACAACTCTCTCTCTCTCTCTCTCTCTACTGTTTCCACTCAGACAAGTAACAACAGTGTGCATGTATCATAAGATAGCAGTGGATTCCAGGTGGAAGAAGGGAATTTGTGAGGAGATGATCGCGAGGACGATGAGAAAGAGAGCCACAAATTTAATTAACACTTATTGTGAAGCTGGGTTGCGTTTAACAAAAATCCAACCTGTATTGGATTGGGACCACATATAAAAGTGGCCCAAATCCGAACTGGACACGATCAGATACCATGTGACTTGGGCTGTTCACACTGTTATAAAAAGATCTGATATGAGTCACATAGGAGCAAAAAAAATAGATTTGGGTAACTTTGGCCTGCAGTCTGAATGCAGCCATAATTTCAATGCTTCAAAAGATTGTAATTGTTGAACATGCAGTTAAAAGAAGTAGTTTTTAGGAAGTTTGGTTTGTGATAATAAATGCATAGAGCATACGTGTGTAATATTAGATCAGGAACCAGTGTTAGTTTAGTCGCTCTGAGGCTTTAAAAGACATCAGTGTCACAAACATCATACCATACCTACTGGTCTCTTCGGTACCTGCACAGTATATGAGCCCATTCCTGTCTATACCAGCTCTCCTTTATGGGTTATCAACGTGCTCTGGGAGAAGTGCACTCTGAGCAGTGATGATATCTCCGGCGGTGGAAAAGACCCTCTCTGAGGAAACACTTTAGCAAGTGGATACTGATACTGGTGCTCCTTCCACCAGACCAGTGGATCTTCTTTCACTTCCAGGAGATCTGTCTCCTTGTAGCGGGTCATCTGCTCCTTGGCCTCATCCTCTTGGGTATTTGTCTTGGCCTTGGATTCCTGGGTGGAGGACACTGACCTTCAAATAAATAAACAATAAAAACAAAAACGCATTTCTTATAGTTAAGCACATTCCATAATTCCTACACAGAGGTTTAGACAACATAGTGCGCTTCACTGGATAACAATGGGTGATACTGACCTTGACTGCTTTCTCCTTCCATGAATTGCTCTCCTTCATCTTTGTCTTCTTTAGATGCCATCCCCTCATCATCAACACAAGCATTTGCTGTCCCCTCTTCGTCCACACTCCAAAGTGACTAAATTAAATAAGTCAACATGAAATGAAATTCATGAGCTTTTATTGTATAAATCTCTAATTACTGTATTTAATTAATGCCTTTAAACCTGTTAACATTATAGAATTTATGCTTTTTAAACTATTGAATATTTATCTATTTTAAACTGTTAACGTTGTAGTGCTTTTTAAACTTTGAACAATGCATTATTTATGCCTATGCTTACTCTTGCCAGGAGATGGCGGATAGGTACAAGGCCAAAGGTTAAACCTAGCAGTACCATCACTGCCTTACCTCTGATGGCTGCATGCTCAGTCTTGCAGCCTCTTCAATCATCATAAACTTCCTGTCTTTCATTTTCAGTCAGGAAGGGAAGACTTTTGAATCTTGGATCCATCACTGAACATGCATGGAGAGTTGCCTTGAGGTCAATGTACCTCTTCTGAAGATCCCCAGCCATGGCAGCCTTCATCTCTTTTATGGCTCCAGATTCACCTTCGATCGGTTTCAGCCCGTTGATCAGTGTGTCCTGGAGGGGTGCGACGACTGACAGTGTGGGAGTCTTCTCCTTGGACATGTATTGTGTAGCCTCCTTCATGGGCTTCAGCGCACTGACTACTTCTTCAGCTGTTGTCACGTCTGACTCAGTCAGTGTGCACAGATTCCTTCTCGGTCTTCCTGACTTCACTCGAGGGCAGGGCTCTGGAATATTTCCAACATGTCATGCGCACTATTCCACCCGTAGATAAATAAAATAAATATACTTTATTTATTTATAGACCTATAGCACCCTTCACACTTCACAGCATGGATGCACATAATGCTGCTTTACATAAATGACAAAACAAATTAGTAATAAAAAACAACTATTGAAAAGTAACCACACACTAACCTAGTAACCACATCAGCTTGTGTTCTGTTTCTCTTTCAGCATGTGGTTGGCTGTAGTGCTCTGTTTGAAGAAATTCACAATGCGTCTCACCCTTCCCAGCAGGCGTGCGACTGCTGTGATTTTGAGGGCACGTTGTGCAGCCAGATTTAATGTGTGAGCATAGTATTTGACATGAAGTGTGAATGCTGCCTTCTCAGCTGCGATTGTTTTATTTGATGCATTATCAGTGACGATTACTGGATCCTTTTCTGTGATTCCCAGCTCTGCGAGGGCCTTTCTCAGATGTTCTGCCAGGTTGTGTCCGGTGTGGCTCTCGGGCATGTTCCTGGTTTGTAATTACATACGTAACGAGCTCCCATTCCTCGTTGATAAAGTGGGCCGTGATGGTGACATACGCTTCAGTTCAGCGAAGTCCAGCCGTCGCACGTCAGGGCAACTCTGTCGGTGCTGGCCAGGGAGGCTTTGACGTGTGCCCTTGTCTGAGCGTACAGCCTGGGAATGCAAACCTTGGTGAGGTGTTCGCGGGTTGGAATAGGATAGCGGGGCTCCATCGCGTTCACCATGCGCCTAAAGCCGGCGTTTTCCACCACCAAATACGGTCTTAAATCCTGACAAATAAAGGAGGCAATGGACTCTGTAATTTTCTGAGACCTTGGTGAAGCATATGGAAACTTGTGGGAACAACCGCCATCGATGTCCAGCATGGTATGTTTTGGGTCACGCGGCCGCAGCTTCTTGGGGTCCTCCGTTAGCATTACCTTGTCCGGGTGGTGACGTTTTAGGTGGGCTCATAGGTTGGTGGTATTTCCAAAGTATTTCACGTTTGTGTCACACAGCTTGCAAACCGCGATGCTTTTGTCTAAGTCGTCGCTTTCCGTCTTCTTTTTAAACCCAAAGTGCTCCCTCACTGCTTTTAAGCATGAAGGTGCTGGATTTATATTCGCCGCCATTTTCTTGAATCTCCTCGCTCTGACGCTCTGACTCCATAAACAGGAAGAGGTAGACGTCGGCGTCTGTGTAAAGTTAGTACGGGTAACTTGCTCTACAGTGACACTAGCGGCTGGCTGACCAAATCGCTCTTCCTGCAACGCGAACGGGTGTAAACACGGGGGGTTTGAATGGGACTTATGTATCGATACTCGCGGATTAAAAATCGATACTTTCTTGGGGAAAAAAATATAGATTTATATCGCAGAATCGATAAAATTGCTCAGCCTTAATGCTCACAATGGCAATGCTAACATGCTGATGCAGGTGTTTGGCAGCCTAAGTCTGTTTTTGGCATATCCAGATTGATTTTCCCATCTCAAAGCCAGCCATATCAGCTGACGGCTCAGCTGATTCCCCTCTTAGCTTTCACTGGCAATTCCGTTCAAGGCACATTATTTAAGCTGATTTTGTCTACCTACTGTTGCTGCTTCCTCTGCAAGTATCTTGTAAACTATTGCCCCAAACCACCCCCCCCAGCTCCTCCTTTCAGGCTGTGTCTAACTAATCAGCGTCATTTCTGTTGTATTGATGCGTGCCTGCTCTGTTCTGTACCTTGGGAGGTTCTTTGCAGCTGCTCTCTCTGCCTCGGTCTCTCCATGCATGCACATGGACGGGCAGGGAGATGTGCTCTACCTGCCATATGGCTTTTCACGTAGGCACGTGGAAGGGTGGGGAGGTCCTAGAACAGAGATACACCACCAAAAATAACTTACCACAGAGCAAATAGATAGAAATAAGATGTACCTTTTATTAATCCCCTGTATGCAGTTAGCACAGCAGCACAGGAATGAAAAAAGTAAATACAATAACAGTATAATCAATTACCTTCTATGTAGCACACCACAGCAAAGAAGATAACACTGGCCACTACAGAACATCAGACTGAAATGCTTTTAATGCAAACAGGATCCAAGCCACATTTGGAAATTTCTACAGGTGTGTCTGTGAGGTTAATTGGCGACCCTAAATTGTCCTTAGGTGTGAGCGTGAGTGGTTGTTCGTCTATGTGTGGCCCTGCGACCTGTCCAGGGTGTACCCGATGTCAGCTGAGATTGGCTCCAGCGACCCTGTATGCAGGATAAGCGGTTGACGATGGATGGTGTCTCAGTGTCTTTGCAACACACAACGTCATCAAATCCAGAGTGACATTCAGAGCGGCTCAGCAGAATACATGCTGCACGGTCTACTCCTTCTCTGGCACTTTGCATTTCAATGATTTTATGATTAAAAAACACACATAACACACATTAAAACAGAAGATGAAAACACAATAAAGCAGAGGGCTTATTTACATTGCAGTTCTAACTGAAGCTCCATACAGCTGCCGAAGAAACTGCATTTTTGTGGCAACAGAGGTGGATTTCTTAATTTACAACAAACAGAGTATTGCATGTACTGCATCACTCTATAGTTATAGAACTTAGTTGTCAAAACAAAAACCAGAAAAGAAGAAGTGTTTCAGGAAGAGCAGTGTGAAGTGTCTCTGTATAGCACAACATTAAGTTCAGTTTTCTACTGTCTGCTGACTCATACAGAGCACCCCGACTGTCTCAGCCATGAGGAGCACACGAAAGAGAAACTGGTTCGATTTGACTATAGGTGAGCATTTGAAATTCAAACTTCCTAATTGTTTTTTCTATAGATAGTACAGGAAGGAGGACTTTAGTTTAGTTCAGTTTGAAAATCCTCATTGTTCTCATTTCATTATGTTTCAGCATGTTTCAATTTATATAATTTGTCTTGGCATATGTTTTCTCCCCTGTAGTCTCTCTTCTCTTGACCTTACCTACCCCTGCTGCAGGTCAGTCCATTCTTCTGTGCAAAATCCTTGTAGTTTATCATTTATGGTCTGTGTAAAGTGTAAATACTTACTGTATGTCTTTCTTTTGATAGAATTTTAGATTAGATTTGTTGGGTTTATTTCTACTCTGGAAGACTTGAAATCTAGCATTGTGTTCAGAATTGAACAGCAGAATGTTTATAAAGGAAAATGTAGCTTATTCCAGCATGAATGCAACTGTAATCTAAAGATAATAAATGTATTGAGTGTTTGACAACTCGTGATACCAAGCGGAAGTCTGTGGTTTTGGTTGTGGGTATAGACATTTGTTCCTTTGTTAGTAACATGAACATTTTATTTCACAAACTAATGACAAACACTAAATCCACTCTTAATACAAAAATTGTATATTCTCTGTGTTATGTACCTAGTCATGCAGGTCAGATTATCTGGCTCTACCTTTTGCTCTGGAAGAGTTGAAATCTATTACAGCAACACCTGGGGAACAGTCTGTAATCGCACCTGGGACTTAAATGACACTAAGGTGGTGTGCAGCGAGCTGGGCTGTGGGACAGAAAATGCAAATCTAAGTTCAGCTTTTGGTGAAGGAGTGGGTCAAATCTGGCTTGTTGATATGAACTGTTCTGGAAGTGAAACATCTCTAACTGGGTGTCCGCACGGAGGATTTGGGACCAACAACTGTTCACACAGTGAGGATGTTGGTGTGGTCTGTCCAGGTGAGAAAAACGCTGGATAAATGCTCATTGTCAAGAGTGTATTCTAATGACCTTTTGTGTTTAATGACTGCAAAGCAAATTTCCTAGAAGAACTAGCAAGAGACAGCTAGATAGTAGAACGTATCAACTGAAAAAATCCCACTCTCATCTTTTAAGCTTCATTCCAAAGCCACTCCCCCAGAACACATTTTCATGTGCAATGAGTGCACTGGCAGGTGCATTTTAATGTCCATGTCTTCTAAGCATTATGAAGCTGCGACCACATTTAATGTGTACAGTTAACATGTTTCAGGTATTGTTTTCATGTATTGTGATAAAAGGCATTGTAATACTGCAAGCAGCTAAATTACCTTCTGAAGATGAGATGTTTTCAGGTGGCTGAGGATACAGTTTGATCACTTTCACGTTATCATTTCACTTTTATTTATTGACATTGTGATATATTTCATCACACATTCTGTTAACAAAGATATGAACTGGTCTCTTGTGAAGTACACTTTGCATAAAATGGGGCGGAGAGGAGATAATCACACTTGTGGACACGGGTTCACACTGTCTAGCTGGTGTGTTTTGTTTACCGGTTCTATGTCTCATGCTCTGTTTCTTTATCTGCTCTGCTATCTTTTTACTATTTTTGTTGGGGTAGTTCACATCTCTGAGGTGTGAAATTCTGCATGAGAGTACATTAATGCCTGTATTTACCGGCAGTTGACTTAAAATTAAATTTGAATGATGCCCTTTATTTGTTTCTGACACAAACACTGTAAAACTAGTGAGTAAGAGAGAGGGAATGAGAAAAGATATTTTAAACTTAAAACTTTAAACTTGGAAATGCAAGTTGCCTCTGTTTCAACTCACAAACTATAGTTCAGTATTCCAGTTGTCTCAACATAATTTTTTTAACTGATTGAAGTTTTTATAATTTGTTTCAACTTCATACTATGAGTTAAAACAAATAAACTTTGAAAAGAAGAACTTCTGCACTCTAGAAGTTGTGTTACAACAATAACAGTTTAGCTAGCATTAGCTATCAACCATCCATAAGATTAAACAAATGAATGAAAAATATTTATGAACTATGAGTGAGACAGGTAATTTCAGCTGCCACTATCGCAGATACAGAGGGTACTTCTACAGACCTCTCTGGCGCAGTTAAACTGTCTTCATCTACATGTCAAGCATCCCAGCCGTTTTCCCAGTCTTTCCCTGTGTTGGATTTCTGCCTGGTATTTGTTAGACTTATTTTTAATTATTTGGACTTTGATTATTGCCAATTCCCTATCTCGACTTGTGTTGGACCTCTCGCCTGTTTCTGACCCTTGCCTGCCCATAAGCTTGTTCACCTTTTTGCTTAATTATTGATAAACACCAACAAACTGAACTGGGGTGTTCTGCACTTGGGTTCTTGGGTTCCTTGATTTTCCTGCTCCCTGCTTGACTTGCTATGACATGGCTAGAATCGCTCTGATTTAAGTTTGTCTAGAATTATTCTTGAAAGCATTTCCACTTGGCTTTTTGGAGTTAGGACACCTGTTCAAGTATTCAAGGATTTGGATCCTTGATATGTGCCAATGTTGTTTGAGGCATTAACAACTAAGAGACTAGTCAAACAGCAGAACTTTTCATACGGCACATGTATGCACCTCTGAAGCTCACTTACCGTAAAACTTAGCCCGGGGTTTTATTTGCTGAAATCACTGAATTGACCCTGCCTTTATTTGGGACAGGCGTCCATATGGGACAGGCCATTAATTCTTTTTACACAAAACTGAAACTATTTATTTCAAACTGAATAATACATACACATCATTCATTTGATCTAGCTCCAACAGACGGCTTATGCGCTTTTATTTTGAAGGCAGCAACCTAACAAAAACAACAACACGGTGCAGAATGAGAGAAGTTAGCAGACAGAGAGCGATGGATTTCACATGACAGGATTCACAACTTGGATTAATTTTTGTGAAAAGTTGTTTTGATTCTTTTGATCGGTGGACGCTTACAGATTAAAAGGAATATAAATAATCAAGGAACGGACACATTCTGGCTTAACAAGCAGACTTAACAAGCGCTTCAAAGTGTATGTGTGTAATGTGTGACAGCACTTTTTTCCCCGTTTTCCTCTCTTGTAGCCATGCAGGTTACACCGGTAAAATCTAGAAGAATTAGACTTTGGGTCTTGTTGTTTCCGTTAAATGAACTTAACAGTGGTATTGTGGAGAATCTAACCGATCTAACAATGTTCAGCATGTCCATATTGACATTGATCATACGTTTAAACATTAATATTTGTAGCCTATTCACGATCTAAGCAGCTCGGGAAGCAGCTAAAGCGGGCGACTCCGCAGCATTTAAGAGGTTTTATACATCCAAAGAACTTCTATAAAAACCAGACCAGGCGTTTAATTGAAGCAGGCGTTTATTTGTCAAAATGTGTTCCCACACCAGGCCAGTAAAGGAGGTAGGCGGCTATTTGGGACTCGTCTATCAATTGAAGTTTTAGGGTAATTACATGTTGGCATCATCATCGGTGAGGGGGCTGCAAAAGACACTTAACATGTTATTATTGTGTTTGTTTTTCAGTGACTCCCCCACAGCCCAATATCTCCATGCATCCTGTTGGTGAGGTCACATGGGGTGAGGACGTTACCATCACTTGTTTGATCTCACCTAAGACTCAACAACTTTTGAAAGGAACATTCATTCTGGAACAGAACCCAGCTTCATTTACAAGCACTCAAACATCAAGTAACAACTCTGCTTACTTCAAAATCCTTAATGTGGACTTCGGTAACACAGGGTCCTACCGCTGTCAGTATCAGATATTGGTCGACAGTCAAAACTACAACTCGACCCAGAGTGACTCCGTCAGACTGTTGGTTACCGGTAAGAAAAATAAATAAATAAATAAAACAACACAAGAAACACACACCAGTACAGTAGAACCACAACATCAAGCCTGAATCTGCTGACAGACACACATATGCTAACATGATTATATTGAAATTGTTCATTTTAGTTTGCAGTGAAAAAATTTCACTTTTTAATGAGCTGACTTATAATCATTATATAATTACTTAAGTAAAGCATCAAGTCACAGGACGTTTCCAGCTTTGTTGGTTTGTCAGTGAGGGTGTGTGTCGCTGAGTGGGGAGAATCTGTGGGAAGATGCTGCCATTGTAAGAGAGAAATGACTTGTGGCTATATTTTGATACCTATGTGCCTGTGGAGATGAATATGCGTGACTGGGAGCAGTTTAGATAAAGTGTACAAAAAGCTGTAAAACCATCACTTTGTAAATAAATATGTTCTAAACATTTAAAACTAAAATATCTTCTAAACTAAACATTGTAGAAGCAGCAGGTGGTAGCTCCTTCAAACTTCAAATACAGTCATTGGAAAATGAAGATTTTTGGATTAAAGAGCAAAGGAACAAAAACCCAAAAAACTGGACAAGGCACCACGAGTGGTGCGGTGATCGCTCAGAGAGGAAAGAGAGCCAGAATAGGAGCCTAGTTGGCCCAGCTTGGACTTAATTCTGCTGCTAAAGGTCCAGTCTGGACATAATGGGACTCATGTTGACCAAGCAATGGATGTCAGAGACTGCTGTGTCCACATCGTTCCAGAGACCTGCCCCATCAACAACCCAGATCAGACACTCGGCAGGCGGTCCATGTTCCGAGCTGTCAGCGCAAGACTCGACGAGACAAGATGAGGCGAGGTGGACTGTGTTTTACATCGATGATGCTTGGTGCTCAAATGCGGTCAAGATGAACTCTGTTTCCCAAATGTCAGATTGTTTAGTGTGAAGATGCTAATAAGTCATGTATCGTAATGCTCACTCATCTGCTCCATGGCACTTCACTCTATACCACAGCCAAAGACTGATGACATGATGGGTTTTTTTGTGATAAACTATTAAATGTTTTTCTCTCCTAGTGCCTTTGTGGATGCTGGTCTCTTCAGCAGCAGGTGGAGGTCTGTTGTTGCTGTTACTGCTGGTCTTGGCCGTGGTCGTTCTGGTTGTCAGGAGAAGAAGACGAGCCAAGGAGCCAGGAATCATCATCCAGATGCGGACAGACCAAGTAGGAGCAGTGGAGGACGGGGACAGTGATGATCATGATTATGAGGAAGAGTTCGTCCAAACTCAATGTGTGTGCTCGCCAGGACACATAGTACATGTCATTATTAGACTAACTGTGCCTGGTTGAAGTACTTGTGACAAATTTGTTTTGATGCTTGTGTTTCAGTGAGGGTCAGGAACAGTTATGAAGATGAGGAGGAGGTGGATGAGGACTATGTTAACGTTGATCCAATGGATACCACGAGGACACGGACAGACCAAGTAGGAGCGGTGGAGGACGGGGACAGTGATGATCATGATTATGAGGAAGAGTTCGTCCAAACTCAATGTGTGTGCTCACCAGGACACATAGTACATGTCATTAGAAGACTAGCTGCTGCTGATTTGAGTTCTCAGGACAAATTTGTTCTGATGTTTGTGTTTCAGTGAGGGGCAGGAACAGTTATGAAGAGGAGGAGGAGGAGGAGGAGGAGGAGGACGAGGACGAGGAGGACGAGGACGCCGACGACTATGTGAACGTTGAGCCAGTGGACACCATGAGGAAACAGACAAAGCAAGTGGAGGATGAGGACATTGCTGATAATGATTATGTGGAAGAAGAGATTGCAGACATTTATGTAGTTCCTACGGAGGTTTTTGTTGATGTAGAGGACAACAGCGAGGAACAAGGAGATGAAGGAGAATCCAGTGCTGATGAAGATGACTATGTAAATGTAACCCAGACATACTGAACTGTAGAGTACATTATCTGATATTTAATATATTTAAGTTTCCACTGGTCAACAGTGTCACAGATCATCACGGATAAAGGACACAACCAACTATTTACTGCCAACATTTTTTTTTTTGTAAACTGTAATATTGTCAACTTTTCACTTTCAACAACATCCATGACTTTGAAGAATTTCAGCCTAAAGACAGAACTCAGAGGCTCCATCCTTATTCACAATTATTCCTTTAATGTACATACTGGTCAAATATTCTTCTATAACATGTAAATCAGGCAATATTACCAAGTAAATATATAGTTTTGTATGTATATGTTTAGTACATGTGAAAATCTTAAAGTAACATGTGTCAAACCAACACATCCTCATACCTAAATGACCAAATAGGTTTATTGTCAATGACCAGTCGAGGTACAAATGTACCAGACTAGACTTTTTGTAAGTCACGTGAAGGAAGTAAAGTCAATTGGTTGTAATAAGCTGCTGCACAATCAATTAAAAAAACAACAACTGGAAAACAACCTGACATATAACAAAAGTTGGATGGCAATTTGTGTGTGTGTGCGTGTGTGTTCAGGAGATATAACATAGGGGGTGGTGTGGGGGTAACTGATTCGGGAAATGGGGAAATGAGTAAATGCTTTGTATTAAGCACAAAATAAATAAATAAATGAACAAAAGATGATAGAGAGGGAGAAAAGAAAAACAACAGCAAGAAAATCAATAAATGAAGCAGTGCTAAAAATAGAAAAACATTCTTCCTTTCTCCTCCGTCCCCTCCAATTTTCCACCATATCATAGTGTTGACTCACTAATTCAATTGGCTCCCTTTTCCTTCAATCCTCGTCTCCCCACACTCACATACACCTTCACCTCTGCTCTAAGCACAGCGGCGTGTCCAGCCTCTTCCTGTCTCTCTCTCCCTCTATGTGTCTGCTCTGCTGACTTTCTCCATCAGTGTCTCAGCCCCTTATTGCTTAAGCAGACGAGGTAGAAGACGCACACATTCCTCAGTGGCTCTGGCTTTCTGCCCTGAAAACTTTATCATTTTCTCTGGCTTGTAATTACCTTTTATGGATTTACTGGCTTCCGATTGTGTCTTCATGGATAAGCTGATTTACTCTATGTTTTGGATTACTGGATTTTAATACTATTCACCTAATCTTTGTAGGTGACTTCCCTGTTTTCCATGCTAGCCCTGTAGCGGTAGGCTGTGAGGCTAAAAACAAAAATCAGCCGGGTGGACTAGATACTGGCTGCAACATCCACTTTCACATCCACTTTTCCACATCAGCCCGATGTCAGTTTCAAAGAAATCTGTCTTGGACCAAACCTACCAGAGCTGAATCAGCAACAGACCCAGCTCGGGCCCTTTGTGTTACACCGATGGCTCCGCTAACAGAGGTTTCTTGGCGGAGCGAGCTCCGGTCCATCGCACGGCTCATCGAGGAGCTTCTCCAGCGGCAGACAGTGCTATGTTCCCGGCTGTCGTGTCTCAAGCCTGTGGGTAGCCAGCAGCCTTTCTCTTCGGATCGAGTTCCACCTCGTTCCCCCGCCTGGTCGTCCGTGGGCAAGGGTCACAAAATTATTTACCTTCCCCTCAATCCCCACAATCAGTCTGCAGTTGGTAGTGGTGACATCCCTCTCAACAACTGATTCTCTCCTCTGGCCAAGTGTCCCCAGAGCTTCACCGCTCTTCACCGATTTGTCTTTTGAATAGTAAATCTGTGTTCATTGTAGGTCTGTCATGGAGACAGTGAAAGTCAGAGAGAGTTGCAAAGTCTGTCTGTGAGCAAGACACACATTTTACATCATTTACCATCATTTGCATTCAGTGACATGAGGCTAGGCATATGCTCTGGGCAGGTGTGTCTGTGCTTGGTGGTACTGTATGGACCCAGTGAGGCTCATCCTGCTTCGCCTCCAACCCACTAGTGATGGCATTAGAGGGCGAAACATACACGAAATTGAATGTTAGTTACGTACCATAACACCAGATCCTATGAGTATAGGCACAGCCCTCTAAGCTATGGGCCTCACGGGCTTTCAGTGGCTGAAGCAAAAGTTATCTGGGAACAGACTGTCCGGTCTCACAGCTATTTATTCACAAGTTGAGACCGTGATTGAGGCTTACACCACGGTGGGCGTAGACAAAGCTCTTCAGTGCTGTGCTTGTGCACAGGGGATATACCCAATAGCAAAGGCCTTAGAGGGCTGCGCCTATACTCATACTCGTACTTACATTACGTAACTATCGGCCTAAAGTCAACGCCGCAGCTTTTCATTGCTTTTTCTTGTTTTAGGGGCACAATATTCCGACAGCAGCGTAACTTCATTCATTATTAAAATCTCCCGACATGCTGACAGGATCAGCATCAGAGTCAGAGTCTAATGTTGATTCATGTTCTGTGTACACATCCAAAGCTCTCACGCACAGTCCAGGTTTGGAGTACTGCAGCAATCTCAATTATTTCAGAAGCTAAAAGTTGGATTCTGTTTCCACTAGGGAGTTTTCTCTGTCCTGTCATGTCAACAGGCATGTGATTGGCAAAGGACAAAAAAGCAGGAAAATATACTGAGACCAAAGGCAGTTGCCTGCTTAAGACCTGGTGGCCTAAATGTTAAAGAAACTTAGATCAAACAGCCAGATCAGGCTCTGTCTATTGATAAACTGTAAGAAAAAGACAAACAAGAAAAACATCCTTGTTGATACTTGGAAAGGGAAAAGTCTTTACACACATCAGCCTGTAGATGCCCTCAAATCCTATCCATTTCACACAGGCAGCTCCTGTCGACCCCCCCCCCCCCCCCCTTTTTTTTTCTTTACAGATCTGCATGATTCACGTGGGTCATATTTTCAGTTCGTTCAAATCTCGTTCATTAAAATGAACTAATCTTTTTTTGAGTCATTTCGTTCATTTGAACTAGGCTGGTTATTGCGGCGCTGCAGTCCTCTAGTGGGCGATTAAAAAACAGTGCCATTCTCAAACACGGAAGGCTGCCTGGCTTGCTTTATTTGAAGTATAATGCACAAATTTACCTCTTGATTACTGTATATCATCATTATATAAACCCCCCTGGGCCCACAAAAAAATTCAAACCATGTGAAAACCACAGAAATATGTAGTATGTTATAATATGTTGTCAATATGTAATCACCACTACTCCGGCTAAATCCTTCCATTTTCACAATCTTTCCCGAGTATACAACCAGACCAGCCATTTAAAGGCTTACGTATAGAATTACTCATTATCTCTAAAGTGCTCATTCATACAGCAGCCTAACGTCCCTATCCATGAGTAAAATATTAATATCAGATTTGCAGTAAATATATTGAAGTAATAAGCTTGATCCACTATATGAATAAACACACTAATTAAAATTCAACCAATTTAATAATAATCTGGATCAAGCCACCAAGTTCTTAAAGAACTCCAGCACAGAGAGAGGAACAGAGAAATAAACACAAACGCAGCAGTTTGGCAGGTCTGGACACAGAATGGGCCACATGAGGTCCGGATTCTGCAGACAGAGAAACACACATGAGCACATCGCTCTGAAACACTGCAGGTTGTTCACCAGTCAGGAGCTGTGAAACAACAGCACGGCTCTGTTGGTAAATAAAAAGGAAAAGTTACGTTGCGTTCTCTGGCGGACCTGGATCAACTGTTAGCCCTCTAACGCTAACGTTGCTATGTGGCTGTGTTTTAATGTTTTAATGTTTTAATGTCCGGGTCTTTTTGTTATGGAGAGGAGACGACCTCGGAGGTAATTCAGCTCCAGGTAGAACCCTGTCAGGGCTCTGAAGTGGATGGACCCAGAACAACTCTCATCAGCTGTTAGCTGTAATGTCAAACTCTAACATGACTAAAGATATTGTCCAGCTGTGTTAAAACTATAACTTAGCACAACATAACTGTGCTGTAATAACGTTATGCTTTATTAAATGTCCTAAAATAGATATTAGATATAATGTCAGTCCAGTGACTGTGACCTGACAGCCGACCTGCCTCTAATTCTCCGGCACTGGCAGTCACTCAGCCTGCAGAGTGAACGAAAGACTGAGGAGGACCCATGTGAGTGCTGAACGAGTAGTTATTTCCTGCTCCACAGTAGCTGTCACGTGACAAATGAACGACTCAGACCCAGAGACCCACAGTTGAGAGTCGTGAACTAATCAATTCTGTTTCCTGTGCTGACGGAGCCCGTGCAGCTGCCGTATGACGAGTGAACGTAAGAGTCCAAGATCCTTCTCGCATGCGTGAAAATGAATAAATCACTCACTGAGACAACCCGTTCCTCCCGAATCATACACATGATTAGATCTTATGAACGAAACGTTCTTTGAACGACACAACACTAAGCCAAACCCCTTTTTCTGTTGGTCGATCCGTTCTGCACATGCACATAATTCTTCCCGCCCAATTTGTACTGCGCATGTGTAAACCTTGCAGTTGACCGACGTCAACGATTCAAAACAGACCTTTATTAGCAACGCTAGGAGTCATAGCACTAGCATAAAGACTGAAATTAAGTCTCACTTGCTCAATTTGTTTTTGTTTTTTTACAAGCTACTTGTTCAACAATTCAAACATACTATTGGCATGAAGAAATATTGCAAATTTTAGCCATTAATACTCTAAATGTCACGAAAGTCTGTAAACACTTAAACTTCAACTCCTATCTTCATTAATATGAATTGGTATACATGTTTCCACAAGTAGGCTCAAATAAAACCAAAAATGACACAACCAGTATGATTGGTGCATTTGGTTATTGAGGATGTTGCCCCTCACAAAAATATAATGCAGCGTATGCAAAACTTTGTTTTTTACTAAATTTATCTGAGGGTTCTGCATACATCATCATCAGTTGATGACTACAGGTTAATTGTATGCAGATTTTGGATCAGACCATGTGAAGTACACTACAGTTTAGTGCATTTGGTTTATTAATCTGTCTAATCTAAAAATTAAAGCATACCAACAAAATGTAAGTGAATTTACAGTGCGTAAGAAATTGCACAAAATGTTGAGATGATTTGTGTATGTCAAATCTATTAGTGAGTTATTCTAAAACTGAGTTTGATATTTTGTAACTTTTATTGCTCCCTTTCATTAAAACTGGATCATATCACATCCTCTGCACAGGTTGGACTGTCTCTAATATGTATGAAAAGAAAATACATAAATCTTGATTTCAAAATTAATATTTTATAAGTGAGAATAGTGCAGTATAATAACTTTTTCCACTGTCAGAGGGACACAATACACATTGTATAGCACCTTAAAAATCATGTTAAAGTGCTTAACAAAAACTATGAAAACACATCTGCCATCAAAGAGCTCCATCATATAAAAGTACAGTGAATAAAAAAGAAAATACCCACAACACAATAAACAGTGAAATAAAGACTAAACTAAAACTTACTTCATGTTGCCAGTGGGTGGAGCTATCACAGCATTAATATTGACATGTAGAAGTCTTCAGAGCAGGGTAACCACTATAGGTATACAATATAGCAT